GGACGCTATTAGTAACAAGTGCATCGCTTCTAGTAACAAGTGCCTTACTAGTAGTAACAAGAATGCTCCTAGGGGCTCCTGGCATCCCTACTAGGAGCAAGGACGCTATTAGTAGTCAGGAGGAGTCACGTCCATTCCGCAAGGGATCAGTGGCTGGCTATGCTCCAGACGCCTTTGCTTACACGTGCTGCCGCTGCCTGAGCATGCAAACGGGAGTTTCATCTACTTCATGGGTGTCAGTGCCGACCGGATCCTACTGGGTCCAGCGATTCCAGTGGACGCTCAAAGGTATGGGCAACGCTTGACAGACTGAGGCATCAGTGCCTGTGGAAGGCCAAGCAGTCATGGCCACAGTCCTTTTCGTCGCTGCTTCATTCTTGCAAGTTGAGAGCTCTGAGGATGGATAGACTCCGTGCTGATGTTTGGACTCATGAGGACGGAACAGAGAGAATGAGCATTTTATGCAACAGGTCTTTCAAGCTTGGTATCAATTGATGTCAATTTGTCAATTTGTAGCCTCCTCCCGTGTTCTTTTGAAGCGGACCAACGGCCAATAGCAAGGAAGTACGGTCCACCTCCAAGTGTGGTCACGTGCAATGCCGCGCTTGGATCGATCGGCAAAGCGAGACGGTGGGCTGGAAGCCCAGTCTGAATAGGGTCTTGTGATTTAAACGATCCGGGAGAAGGATGGAGGTGGTGATGAAAATAACAACGATTCTCTCTTGGATTGTCAAGGACTTGTCCATCAAGCTTCTTTACAAAATGTGTCGGTGGGGTGCCTAGCACTTGAATGTTTGGTGGATTCACACTCGCTGTCTCCACCCTGAGGCCTGAGAGACATGGACTTCCAGCAGCAAATAGCGTGACATTCAACACAGCCAACCCGGCAGGCTTCTTTCAAAGATTGAGATCATAAGATTTTCACAACAGTCACAGCTTTGGGCAGCACCATATGTTTTCTTTTGTGTCGCCTGTTCAACAGCAAGACTGCATGGTTGGTGCATGTTATTCCTGACCTCGGACAAAAGGCTGCAACCACAACCATTGAGGCTTCATGTTGGGGCATCTCAGTTTCGTTTAGTATCCTACATCAGAGAGTCAGGCAAGCAACTCAAAGAGCTTGATTTCCCTCAGCCTCAAAATCTAGGAGCCATTTCATACAGCAGTGAGACTTCCACTGTGCAAGGATGTAGTAGCTTCTTTTCCTACTTATAGCTGTCCTGCTGCCTACCCCCAAAACTGAAAAAAAAAACATTTATATATATATATATATTTTTTTTAAATTGTTTGCACGCAAACTTGTTTCCAACTTGGAACAACCACTTAGGCTGGCCTTTAGCAGTATGGCTGTGCGCCATGCTGTGCTTGGAGGGTCGCAACCGACATGTTTTGAAGCAGGATTGGTTCACCGTGAGATACCATGAGCAGTGCCATGCAGTGCCTTAAAAACATGGCACCTGTGCAGGCCTGCAGCCAGATGAAATTACCCACAACATTCTCGTAAGTGCAGGTGAAGGTCCTAGCTTTTGTCTTGCATCATAGAGCAGCTACTCTCTTGGCATTGAGGCATTGAGCCCTTAAATGTTCAATCGCACTATAATGTTTTGTAATATTATATGTTTGTATAGTTGGTGTAAGGTCAAGCTGCCAGCAACTGGAAGCTGGCCCTGGATCTTTCGTGCAGGTGTGCGCGATTACTTGATGCAAGTTTTGACAAGTCAGGGCCAGACCGACAACATTCTGTGCTTGCAATCCGCTTTGTGCGTGCAGGAAGTCTAGTGTGGTTGCATTGACGACAGCCATTGATGCTTGCGCCAGCTCTAGCTGCTGGGAAGCAGTTGGGCACTCATGCTGTATGATGCGCCAATACTCATTGAAGAAACTCGCATTATTTGAAGCTGCATTATTTGAAGCTTTTTCAATGCATCCTACCTACTGAAAAGTAGGTGGTTCGGTCTGAAAGGCCTTGGCGTTGCTATTCAGTGGCCCCACGCCTCGGCCTGAAAAACTGCAAGCCAAAGTCTCCATGTGTTTCTTAGAGAGCTGTAACAAGAAGCTAATAGGTTGGAGGCCATCGGCCATCGCTACTAGTAACAAGTGCATTACTACTAGTAGCTAGAAGCTACTAGTAACATGTCGCTTCTCAGTGAGGCCCAACGTAATGACCTTTGGGGCTGCCACCTAAGACGGGGAGAGGAGCGAAGATGAATGGTCTTTGGTGTACCATTGCACTGGGGAGAGCCATTCTCCTATTGGAGGTACTTCACGCCGGTGCCTTTCCAATCGCATAGTTGGATCATGGTAGATCGTTAGAAGCTAACAATGGCGGAGCTCCCACATGCAGCGGCAATAAATGTGTGACAATGGACAAGCGCTGAATGACGTTTGGGGGGTTCGAACCACATGACTCAGTAGCAGTAGCAGGTGTCCAGTGGGTGTTGGTTAGGCTGCTTTCTCTACATTTGACTCGCGCTCCCCACTCCTGTTGCCCATGCAAAGATCTGAACAGAGCCTGCCATTGTCGGCTTTGTGCATCGTGCAACGAAAGAAACCGCTGCGGCTCACCCAACTCATGCAGCTTGACCTACATGAACCTCAAGCGCAGCAGGAGACTAAACCACGATCAACACTAGATCAGTTCGCCGTACGCAGAAGAGGGGTCTCCCCTCCTTTGGGCCAGTAGCTTCTTGTTACTAGTAGCTACTAGTAGCTTCTTGTTACTGGTAGCGATGGCCTCTAACCTACTTGCGATGGCCTCCACCTAAAAACGTCCCTGCCATGTATTGAAATCTGATCAAATTCCGAGTCATTCACCGTACGACCATTGAGGCAGCAGCAAGCGCCTTTGCAAAGAGTGGACAGTCTGGCACCTTGTGAAGTTATGAACCAGTGAAGCTTCACAGAGTAGCGTCCTTGCTCCTAGTAGCGATGCCCTTTGCTCCTAGTAGCGTCCTTGCTGACATCAGGCCTAAAGCATCCATTGAAAGCACCGGCCGACGTTTTAGGTGGCAATGTGCAGAACGTTTGTTGGCAGTCATGGGCAGCTGTCAGGCGGCAGTTGGTAAGTGTTGTTGCGTTAATGCAAGAGAATGTGAGATGTTGTTTTTCCTCCCTAGATTTGTAAACTTTTCTGCATGTTCCTTCCGTTTTTAGATGCTGTCACAGGAACAGTGTGTGATTTAGATGGTATGGCTGTGACTCTGACACTGTGCTGATGTTGTTGACTTGCAAGCGCCAGCCAGGTCCGCCCAAACGTTATTGTGTGTTCCAGTGTCATCAGTGCCTGTGATGAAGGGCAGGCGAGGTTCGATCAACATGGACTATACTCTTGCAGTCGTAAAGTTTGCCAAGTCAGTTAATATGGGTCTTCTTGCAGTTGGGCCACAAGGAGTGGGAGCGAGCTGTGGCGTTACTTGCGACCATGCAGGAGGTGTGTCGCTTGCAAGGTGTTGCACAAGTGGATTCTTGCTTGTGTCGAGCAAGGCAGGCCCGCGACCGAACATCGTGGCCTACAATGCAGCCATAAGCGCTTGCGCACATTGCGGCCGGCCTCCAAACCAGTTTTGTCATTTTCCTTGCAAGCATGTTTGGATGTTTGACCCGGAGGCCGCTGGCAAGAAGCTCTAGAAGTGTTGAGCTCTTTGCACGGTGAATGCCAGTGTAAGTCTCAGGAAGAGCCGATCACGTGAATGAAAAGAGCCTAAAAGTTATACATTGTACTGTACTTTTGCATCCAAGGCTGGATTCAGTCTCCTTGACGTCTGCCGGAAGCCATTGTTTGTAACGCGGCATGGCAGCTTGATGAGTTTACCGTACTTGCTTCATTGAGGTCTTAAGTGCATTTGAGTTCGCGTCAAGGTGGGCTGAGGCCGCAGATTTCCCACGGAACAAGTTCTTTCAAAGAGAGTGTCGCCTTCCCTGGTATAGTTAGTGAGACGCACCAGAGCCTATGCTCAACAAAAATATCCGTTCGAAGTGCGCGCACGGCAAGCTCTCTGATTGGGAGGCATGCAACTGCTTCGCAACTTCGAAGAATTTGGACCTTTGTCCTTCAACAGCAGAGAAGTGCACTGCACGGGCCTTTCACCATCGGACTCTTGGGAGGGACGGCTGTGCAGTTTGCCCAGGTCCTAGCAGCATGCTCCAAAACCCTGCGTTGGGAAGAGGCAAGAGACGGAGTCGGAGTGATGATTTTCTGCAACGTTTGATTTTTCGTTTGGGCGTCCAGGCCATTCATTGTATAACGAGTCCACACAGCAGCAGACTCGGCAAGCTTCACCTCGCTAAGCTTCGCTTCACAGAATTTCTCAAGGCCTTCCAGTGTGCAATGCCGCTATTGCGGCATGTGGGCAGGTCCGGAAGCTGATGTTGGAGACTGGATTGTGTTCTAAAAAAAGAGTTGACTAAAAATGACAAAAGAAATCACAGCTATTGCTATTACATTACATCGCTATTAGGTTGGAGACCATTGCTGGCCATTGCTATTAGTTTCGAGGCCATCGCTAAGAGGTTGGACCCCATGGCTTCTAATCAAAAGAAAGACATTGGAAAGAAATCACTTCAGCCATGACTCAGTCCTTTGAGGGACACAGCTGGAGTTCTTCACTTAGACTGTTTCAACATCTACGTCGAAGCGGATGGCAAGCTGACGAGTTCACAAGCGGAGCCTTGGTGAACATTTGCGGAGTCTCTGACGAATGGGAACGTTCCTTGTACTTCTTGAAGCTCTTTCATGGATGCAGCTCACAAGCACAAGAAGCTGAAGTCTTCGCACAAAGTAAAGCGAACACCAGAAGCACAGCGAGCTCGCTTGCGGATGCCGTGACTGTAAATGCAGCCATGAGCGCCTGTGAGGGCCGAAGCAGCTGGGAATATTCGATTTCGTTGCTTTCAACTATCCCACAGCAGAGACTTGACACGGAGATGTTTGCTTTAAACTCCGGCATCAGTGCACTCTCATGGAGCTACAGTGGGGAGTGGCAGAAGGCCTTGGCATTCTTAGACCTTATTGCTCTCCAGAAGCTTGACCCAACTGATGTCACTTGGAACGCGCTGGCAACTGTGGCCCACAAGACTGCGCAATGGCAATTCTGCTGCTGGCTGCTCGACCAAATGGCAGAATTAGATCAGTTACCAGATGTGCTTGCTTTAGAAGCAGCAGTGTTGGCATGCGAGCGCTCTGGAGCCAACTACATGCCTCTTTTGGAGGCATTGGCACGTGTTGAGAGTGTTTTTTGCATAGGTTGCATCAAGTAATCTTGCAGTCTGAAACATGTTCAAAAATGTTGTCAATTGCTTGGCACAAGGGGGGCAGTGTTTTCGTCCAGGACCTCAGTACAAAAGCTCATCAGCTAGTTCGACCAGCAAAAGAGTCGGAGCAACGCTTTGGGTGGCAAGTTTCTTAAGGAAGCACCTCACCAATGACAGAGCAATTGAACTGTCTTCATCTTGCCCCGCACAAAAACAGTTGCAGCTCCGGCTCAAATTATTCACCGTCAAGAAGATTGAACAGGTGTACAGCATCTTTCATTTCAAGACACTGTTCACTCGCAGAGTTCGGTTTGATGTTGCACATTCAGTCATACCTTCTTGAAGTCCTTCTTTAAAGAATCGTTTTACTTCTATATATATATATACAGAATTGCCCAAGTACCTTGCTTGGTGGCCCTTCATTGGTATTGTGTGAGTCAGAAGCTCAGAATTTGGTCCAGCAGCCAAAAACGGCCTCAGAAGCAGTTCGTTGTTTCGACACACTTGTTGCTTTGCCAATGCTTCAGGTCGATGGGGTGGGAATGGCAGGGCAAAGGCTACGGGTACACCGGACCTCAGGCCTGATGATTTTAAGACCCAGCTGAGCGTTTGCAACTCATGCCAAGCCTTTGTGGGAGGAACCTAGCGATTGGGGCAGCTTCCCTTCTATGAGCAAGGCTTCATCCTGGGATCAGTGGAGTTTGTTATTTGCTAATGTCGCATACACAGAGTGCCTAAGGGCCTGTGCTGGTTTAGCGTAGTTGCCGGGGTTACGGGGTTAATCCGAGGCATCCGCGCGGTAAAAACGGTAAAAATCGAATTGTTTCTTTTTTTTTGCCGTTTTTACCGGGGAGGCGCCCCTTTTTTCTCTACCATATCCGCGGTGAAAACGGTCAAAACCAACATGTTTATTTGTTTTACCGTTTTTACCGGGGGGGCGCCCCTTTTTTCTCTACCATATCCGCGGTAAAAACGGTAAACATCGAAAGTTTTTGGTTTTTACCGTTTTTACCGGGGGGCGCCCCTTTTTTCTCTACCATATCCGCGGTAAAAACGGTAAACATGTGTAAAAATCAAAATGTTTCTGTTTTTACCGTTTTTACCGGGGGGGCGCCCCTTTTTTCTCTACCATATCCGCGGTAAAAACGGTAAACATCAAAATGTTTTTTTTTT